GCTCCGGCGTTGGGGTCAGGGAATTTGGATAACAAGGTGCGTAAAATACTATTTTTTCTTGACATTTTTTAGCGTGATCCAGCGCCGTGGCGCTTGGATTGACGCTTCAGGCTCCTGTCGGCGCTCTCTTTGCGGCGACTGGTGCCTAGACGACAGATGCGGCGCCGTGGCGCTTTGGATCGATGTTTCACGCTTTTATCGGCGCTTCTACGGCGGCGACCGCTGCCTGGAGGACAGGTCCGTCGCCTGGGCGTGTCGGATCGACTTTTCAGCTCATGTCGACCCCCATGGTGACGACGGGGCCTGAAGCATAGATCTGGCGTCGTTCAGCGCCAGATCTGACACTAACAAAGAACTAAAACGGTTCTATGTTTCTTTTCTTTGTAGCGGCATTCTGCGTTGGATGGCGCCAACCGGTGTTCCTACGTGCCAGTGCTGGCGGTGGCTTTACTGCCCTAACTTGGATCCGCCTCGGTGGTTCTGAATCTTTGGAGCGAGGGCTTGTACTCAGAGGTCAAACCAAGAATTAGGTTTTTTTAAGGAGGTTCAGGCATTATAGGCATGCCTCATACATAGGTAATTCAGGAATCCTTTTTCTGTGGTATGCCATTCATAAGAGATTTGCTTTGCTTATATGCATGCTTAGTGTTGCTAAGATTTCGTGCTTTCCTTTTCCAGGATTGATTTTTTTACTCGATTTATGTGTGAGTAAAGTCATTTTCCATGAATTCTGGTTCTTGTACAGACTTATTTCTATTTCTAGAGTATTAGTCCTTCGGAGATATCTTCTGTAAAATTTCCGCAAATTTTCACGCTATGTTTAAAACATTCTGGAAAATTGATCTTGCCATCAGTGTTTGAAGCGGTGTGGCTAAGGTGGAAAGGTGTACCATCTCCAACCTGCACCTTAAGCACCTTAGGCGGGGCAGTGTTGCAAATGCGCACTTTTTTGTGCCTTCCTGCTGGGTGAGAGCAAGGCCTTTTGTGTGTCCTCTTCTTCTTTTTCGGTTTTTTTTTTTATTTTTATTTTTTTTAATTTACATTTATGTTTACATTTTTTGTTGGATTTGATAATAAACCCGTGATTAGAGGTACAAAGAAGTTTTGGTGGACCTGCCCAGTTGTATAAGTCTGCTTAAAGAAAAAAGAACAAAAGTAGAAAAAGAAGCTGGAAAACCTAAATCAGATTCGGACCATATTCTTTCTGGAAACAGGCACCTAAAACTGGCTTTGTATCCTTCTCCTGATTTTATGGACCTTAAACCTCTCCAATCTAAATTATAAACAGTCTCATTAAAGTTCATCTTAATTGGAATTTTTAATTTTTCTATTTTTATGTATTTTGACATGTTTATGTTAATTTTCCTGGAGCTTTGATGTAATATCCACCTTATATATCTATTTGTTATCTTTTAGGTTTTTTTTCCTCTGTACTTTTGTGCCTTGTGTTAGTGAGCACCTGTGAGTTGGTGTTGAGCCTAGTCTTCAACACCCCTTGGTGTCTAGTTGTGCCTGGCTATTTGTTGTTCATTGCCATTGTGGTACCGTTTTCTATTTATGTTTTCCCTAGCAGTTTGTTTATCATGTATGAGCGTTTTGATTCTGTCATAACATAGCTTTTTGATACTCAAGCTTTTGATTCTCTCTCATGACGAGAAATTAATATGTATTAATTAGCATCACCATTCTATGTTGTTCAGTCAGCCCAGAGAGTAAGCAATTTTCCATTATATTGCCTGATCACAGGATTCACGTTTTTTGGGGCAATTGAGACAACCTCAAGAGTTGTGGAGTGGGAAATGGATGGAGAAGACAGAGGAAGAGGTAAGAATATCCTTCCACGGCACTGGTAAGGTGAGATACTGAAATTATTTTGCTTTAGATATGTATTGAATAGCCAGTGTTGATGCCCCTTTGTCAAGTTTTTTCTTAAATGAATTGATGCAAACTTATTCATATGTTTCTCAGAGAAATGCCTCATATGTTTTAACCTCCCTAGGATGAGTATCTACATCAGTTGCTTGTACATATGCAATTAGAGGTGTAAGTAAACTCCCTTTTTTACCCTTGTGGTTATGTGATTCAATTATAGCATCAGAAGTAAATCTTGTTTGTTTAATCTTCCTTCTCTGTTGATGCTAATATTTGTGGTATGGTTTTTGTTTTAATTATAATTGTTTATAGACAATGATTGAGAAATTACTTTTGATGCTCCGTGATCTTGATTTTCACTCTCTACTACCCTTAAATTGGCAAGTTAAGTTTGTTGTTTAATAACTTATGCGGAGCTTGCCTATACATGGGTGTGACTGAAAAATGTGATGTTTATAGTTTTGGGGTTATGGCATTAGAAGTATTGATGGGAATGCATCCTGGAGAGATATTGATTGTTATCATCACCATCTTCTTTGCAAAATGTGATGTTAGTGACATTAGATATGCGTTTGTCACCTCCAAGAAACAAAAATCTTACCCAGAATATTGTGGCAGTTGGTACGCTTGCATTTAATTTCTTGTGTGCAAAACCCAAATCTAAGCCAATAATAAAATTTGTGTCTCAACAGTTTGTTGCCCGTAAAAGACCACTTACCTGGCCTTTTCCAGCTATTTCTTTGCTAAAAGTGGTATACAGTGAATTAGGGATGGAAAAAGAAAAAGAATTTCAATAAAAAAATTTTAGGTCATCCAAATGAGCTTCATGGCTCTTGCTCAAACGAAATCCTTGGCGTCTAATTTTGAGAATCAAAAGGCTACGTTGTTTTGAAAAGGGATTGTCAGTAAGAGTACCCTTCATACATGTACTAACACCTCTCTTGTTCAATTGGCCAATTTTGTTGTCATGTGTCTGCCCAACAACATGCTTGTTGGTCCTAGACCTTTTCACTCTTTGTCCATTAGCCAATTTAATTGCCTTTTCGATCTATCGTAGAAAATATTGGCTGGTCCGATCCCTTTATCTCTAGGTCAATTAACCATTTTGTTTGTCAACTTTGTGCATTGATTTCAATAAATTCAAGAGCTGCATCCCTCCATACAATCCAATTCAGGTTGTAATTTTTAATGTTGTAAAAAAACTCATTAAAAATGAAAAATGAAGAATAC